GGCAGCCCCCGCCGTGCGAGGCAGACTGAGGCAGACCGCTGACCCTCCAGCTGCCTCCGGAGCGCAGGCGTTTGCCAGTGCCATCCCTCTTCCTCGGCCTGGCGACTCCAAGGTCAGTCCATGCCTGTGTTCCAGAGTGAAAGGCTTGATGTGTTTTTGCCTTTTAGACCCCGTGGCTCCCCGGGCCGCATGCAGGCAAGGGGCAGGATGCTGCCCGCGGCCCCCGCTGCACCGAGCCCACAGTCTGCGGGCAGGACTCGGCGCTGGACACGACCTCTGCCTGCTCTGCACCGCGGCAAACAGCGCACAGGTAGCGGTTCAAGGATCTTGACCTGAACTTTCTCGAGGAGGGAGATAGGTGATGCATTTTCACTGGCTGCTAATCATTAACGCCTCGTTGCCTGTTCCCCCACGCATGGGCAGCTGCCTGTTTTGCTGCGCGGGCTCTGGCTGGGCACCCCACGCCGCTGCCGCAGGGCTGTGTCTCCATGGGCCAGCCACAGTCGGGGAAAGATGTTTCTCCTGCCAGGCTGACCCTGTGTCCTCAGGCTCCTGGAAAGAGCTCTCTGTGGTAATCATTCACCATCACCTGCTGGGGAGGAAGAGGATGATGAAGCTGCAGTGCCAGCACTGCTGCCAGCGACAGCGCGGTGTGGCTGGGGTGGGGAGAGGCCACGGGCAGGGACCTGGCACCAGTGGGACCAGCAGTTTGTTCAGGTCCATCACGGCAGTCGGGGTCTGACGAGGCAGTTCTGTGCAGGAGGGGGTTAACCAGGGGAGCTGTGCTGGGAGGAACGCCCTTCCTCCCAGGGGACCTCATTTGCAAAGGTCTTTTAACCCCCCCACCAAAGATTAGAAAAACATCGCTGGCAGCCAGGAGCTCCCCAAGCCTCCCTGTCTGAGGCTGCGGGGAGCTCCAGAAACAGCTTAGAAAGTTTCCCACTACACAGAGTCCTCGTTAAATCAGCCTGGCAAACGCCATGGCAGCGGGGTGCTTTTGCATCAGCTGGAGGTCTCAGCTGGCGTGGGGGTGGTGGGCAGCCTGCCCCCCACGCCACGCATGACCCAGTCCACGGTCGTGGGCATCCCTGTGGTGCTCCCACGGTGCGTGGGGTGAGGGCAGAGGGACTGGGGAAACGCCACAGGCTGGGGCTGCGGCAGCTCTGCAGCAGACGCGGCGTTCAGTGGGCGCGGGGCCTGCAGATCCCCCCGCGTGAGGCAGGCGCCCGCGCGCTGCGGAGGGGAACGCGCGGGGGAAGG